TATGCGCCGGCCACCGTCCTGGGAGCTGGGGAGGCCGCTCTGCGTGAGCCACTCTCTCCACGGAGCTTGCGTTTTCACGAGAGGCCGAGAAGCAAACACGATGGTGGGGATTACCGTAAGGAAAAGTAAGGCGGGCTAAGGAAGAGACAGTTGTGGCCGGGTGGGGCGGGGGGAGGTGGTGCTGCTGTAGACAGGGCGCTTAGGGGTGGCATCATTTTGTTTTTTTTTTTAATATAAAGTATTTTTTAATTTGTTTTGAAAGAGCACAAGAGGGGCAGAGAGAGAGAGAGAGGGAAAGAGAGAATCCCAAGCAGGGTCCACATTGCCAGCACAGAGCCCCAGACGGGGCTCGAACTCACAAACTGTGAGATCACGACCTGAGCCGAGACCCAAAGTCAGACGCTCAACCAACTGAGCCCCCTGACGCTGCGCCGTTTTCCTTGCGGAGTCTGCAGCGAAACTGTAGCTGCTCAGAAACAATAGCTCCCACTGGTCCTGCTCCCGGCTCTCCCACCCTTCATCCCTCCTCTCCTGAGTCCTCCCCCGGAGCAGGTCTCTCCCATCACCATTGTGAGAACAGCATCCTGGGGCACTCCAACCGGCCTGCGGGACAGTCCAAACCTCCCCGCTCCCTCCGGCCTCCCCCGGTTTCCCTGTCCACCTCACGTTAGCCCACAGGGCGCCATTTCCTGAGATCCCCACACTGTTGGCCTTTGCCTGCTGTTTTGTTTCTTTTCCTTTTTTGTTTTTTAAATGTTTATTTTTGAGAGAGAGACAGAGCGTGAGTGAGGGGCAGAGAGAGGGAGACGCAGAATCCAAAGCAGGCTCCTGGCTCCGAGCTGTCAGCACAGAGCCTGACGCTGGGCTCCAACTCACAAGACCGCAAGATCATGACCTGAGCCGAAGTCGGATGCTCAGCCGACCGAGCCACCCCGGTGCCCCTAGATTTTTTTTTAAAAAAGTAAGAGTACTCTTCTTCTGTCCAGACATGAGAACCATTAACCAAAAAGTGCTCTTTTCTCAGTTCCCCTCCTCCCTTGAAAAAATAGAGGAAACTCTATCCCCGATCTGAAACAGCTAGATTTCAATGAAGGACACTTGGCAAGCTTATCCTGCCTTTGTATATAGGTGGCAGATTTAAATTTTTTCATTAAAACACAACCAACAATGAAGCAGGCTCCACACTGTCAGCAAAGAGCCCAGCACGGAGCTCGAAATCACAAACTGTGAGATCGTGACCTGAACCAAAGTGGGGTGCTTACCCAACTGAACCCCCCAGACGCTGCTTCTTCTTTTTTTTTTTTTTTTCTAGGAGAGAGAGAGAGAGAGACAGCGTGAGCAGGGGAGGGTCAGAGAGAGAGGGAGTCACAGACTCTGAAATAGGCTCCAGGCTCTGAGCTGGCAGTCAGCACAGAGCCCGACGAGGGGCTCGAACCCACGAACCGCGAGATCATGACCTAAGCGAAAATCGGACGCTTAACCGACTAAGCCACCCAGGCACCCCCCCCCCCAGATGCTGTTTCTAAGCCTCTATGCTTCTCCCATTTTTGAAGCCCCAACCCTGAGGCCCCTCCCCCTGTCAGGAGGCAGACACTGTGAGCTATTGGAGAGAGGTTAACTCTTTAAAAAAAGAGAGAGAGAGAGGCAGAAAAACAGGGCCAGAGTTGTAAGGTTTGTGAGTAATCTTTATTCGTGCCCTTGCTCTGTTCCAGTGGCTTCTGCACTTGTCCCTGAGTGGGTCCCTCCTGGGGGACCAGAACTGTGTGTCGTGTTTGTACTCTTCGCACACAGCCTTAGTACTCAATAAACATTTGTTAAGTAAATGAGGCTGAAGTTGGGAGGGAACAAATATTTGTTGAGAACCTATTGTGAACCTATGTGCTTCTCACATCGTTTCATTCCCAAAGACAACTTTTCGAGGTAAATACCACTGCTGAAAACATCCTCAAATAAATAGTGGGTGTTTTTCAAGGTCATGGGCTTGTAAGTGACGGAGTGAGAGTTGGGACGTACATCTGTCCGGCTGAAATTTTCCTCTCCTGGGTGGTTCTCAGCCAGGGGTGATTTTGTCCCCGACTCTGGGCACATTTTCAGTTGTCATAAGCAGGAGGCGTTACCAGCATCAAGTGGGCAGAGGCCAGGGTCTTGTAAACTGTGCTTTGCTAAGACTTCCAGGAAGCAGCAGCAGCTACTAAGAAGTCCACAAGCTCAGGATGGCCCCCACAGCACAGACGAATCTGGCCACAGCACAGACGAATCTGGCCACAGCACAGAATATCAGTCACGCCCTGAAGGAGAAACCCAGCCCCAGACCTTGTTGACTCCATTGAAAAGCAAATAACCCACCAAAATGAAAGCTTCCTTCTGGAAGAGTCTTAGGGGCCTGGGGGCAATCCTGAGCCGTGAGCACTGGTTGGGAATGAAGGCTCCTCTCTGTCCAGTCCTGACTTGCCTCTCTGAGTCTATGATGCTTTCTCAACTGCGTCGGCACCTCCTTCTTTCCATCTTCTCTCCCTTCTTTTCCTTGGCACACTCACTCTACTTTAGCCAGGAGAAGGCACCCAGAACACTCCCAGCGCCTTCAGATCTCTTTCCTAATGAGAAGGTAGAGTCAGTATATAAGAAGCTGCAGATTTCAAATCAGCAGTAGCCCTCGACTCTGGGAACAAGGCCAAAAATGTCAGCTTCTGAAATTGACAACAGAAAGTGGATGAGATTAATCACTGTGATAATCTTCCCAGGAACGAACCCAGTAGGCCATTCTTGCTAAGTCTGCTGCCGATAAGGCTCGGCAGTTTCCTGATCTCCTCCAGGGTCCAAGAATGCCTCCCCACAAAGAGAGGCATTTAAAACCCACTTGTGAGAGATCAACTGTAATCTAGGAAACTTGAAAATGTTTTTCCGGGGGAAGGGCTCTGATGGGGAAGCTTTTAATGACTCATAAGTGTAACTGCCTGTAATTGTTAGGGGTGTGTGTGTGTGTGTGTGTGTGTGTGCGCGCGTGCGCGCATACATGCATGCTCGTGTGTTTTCTCAGCATAATAAACTCCAGGGGGAGAACCAGCTTTACTTTATGGTTAGCTCTGGGAACAGAGGTGCGGGTGAGCCACTGACAGAGAGCGGTGGGAATTAATGGTGGTGTGTGTGCATAGGGGCAGAGGGAGGGCACAAAAATACTATTCCTAGTGAAGTGATTCTTAATCAGGAAGACAAGAACTGTTGTGTGCCAGACTGTGTGTGAGTGGACACACATGTTTTTGGTGGAAAATATCTGCAGCCTTCAGCAAAGGGGGTCCCTGAACTCCAAAGAGTGACGCCCACGGTCCTGGTGATTGCCCGCAGGTCCTGGGCCAAAGGAATAGGAAGAAGATAGATAACCCAGGGAAGGCAAGGGAGGCGAGTTCCTCCCAAGAGAGAGAAGTTTCTTCAGAGTTCAGATTTATTGATGTGCACGCATGAGGCCCCTTTGCGTACGTGTACAAGCATGTGGTGAGGAGACGAGCTATAAGCAAATGTCAAGGCAGGACAGAGTTCAGCCTCAAGGATGGTGGAGAAAAGTTACACAGGGTCATGGGAGGGCCCGGAGAGAATGAGAGAGAGAGAGAGAGAGGGCAAAATGCTCTGTGCCAACATCAATGCTGATTTTATTTTAGGTTTTTATGTTTCTATTTATTTTATTTTATTTTTTAAATTATGTTTACTTACTTTTGAGAGCAGGGGTGGGGCAGAGAGAGAGGGAGACAGAATCCAAAGCAAGGCTCCAGGCTCCGAGCTGTGAGCACAGAGCCCGACACAGGGCCCAAACCCATGAACTGCGAGATCATGACCTGAGCTGAAGCCAGACGCTTAACGACTGAGCCACCCAGGTGTCCATCGATGCTGATTTTAGATCCCACAGACCCCTGGTAACCGAGAGTCACTGGTAAGAGAAGGTTCCCGTGAGGCTGAGTTCTAGGAAGCAGATGAGGCAGTTAAGATGGAGTTCTTCGATTGTTTTCCTCAAAGATCATTTCAGTTGTAAGTCACAGAACCCAACTCTAGCTAGACAACTTATTCCAAAAAATACTAGGAAGTTCATAAACTCCAAGGAAAAAGCTAAATGAGGAAATCCGGTGCAAGAAATTGGACAGTTCGGGGAATTCCACAGCCGGTGACTGGTCCCGGTGACCTCCAGGTTCTGGATCTTTATGTCTGGGTTTTAGATTTCCAAGAAAGAAGGTAATTGTGGGGACAGGTCCCGGAGAAGAGGAGACCGTGAGCCAAGGAAGCACCTGAGCTGTTGTTGGCTGCAGTCGTGACCACTGTGGCTTGGAGGAGACGTCCTCTCTTGAAAACAGGGGAAGACCAGTAGCCAGCTCTTCCCATTGCTGGTTACACAGTGCATACCCTCAAGGCATAGTCCTAATTCCTCACTGTTTTAAAATGTAATTAATAGGAATGGGCTGAAAGTGGGGTGGGAGGACTTTCAGGCAAAGAAACAGAAAAGCGCAGTGGCCCTCAGGTAGGATGAACTTGGGATCCCAGAAATAGAAGAATAATTTGGAAGGAAGCGGGGAGCGAAGGAGGGGCCTCCATAGATCTTGAGGACTCTGGTGAGAAGTTCAGGGGCTTTCCCAAGTGCAACAGGAAGCCATTGGAGGGATTCCAGCGCATATACATTATATTTAAAAAGATCCCTCTGCCAACCCAGTGGAATTCTAGAAAGTTCTAGGTTCTAGAAAGCCCCACCCGGAGGTTATTGCAGTCATAAGGATGAGAGGTGACGAATGGAGTCAGGGGGACGGTGCCAGGGACCGTGAGCAGAGGGTGGCTTCGGCACACAGTTTTGTGTTTTGGAGACAGAACTGACAGGGCTTGCCGAAGGATTTGATGTTGGGCAGAGGCAAAGGGAAGTCCCCAGTGAAAGTTGGCTTTAGGCTGGGGCGCCCAGGGGGATGGTGATGCCCTTCCCCCTGAGCTGGGAAGACTGAGGGAAGGAGTAAGAAAGGGAACAAGATGGGATGCTGAGTGGACCTGTCAAGTCTGAGACGTCAGAAGTCTTAGAGGACAGCCACAGGATCCCAGAAGTCATTCGCAAGACGGGCGAGGTGGACTCGCCGGGTCGGGTGCCTGCCCGCGAGGGAGTCGAGCTGGACAGCGGCCGGCCCAGGGGACGGGAAGTGGTCACTCGGGTCAGAGAAATGCCATTTTGTTTTTAGAGCGTGGGCTCTTAATTTGTAGCTTCTGGACGAGCCTCTTAGTTTATTTTGGGCACTTGCATTTTCATTTATGAATACCCTCTCACATTCATCTGGGGAACGTCACACCCCACACTTCTCCGCGCCTAAGTCCTTGGCAAAATCTCTCCGGCTTCTCTGTGTGTTTGAGGGGCTGGCAGGAGCTGACTGTTAAGCAGGCCGGGGAGCAAGACCAAGGCTGCCAATAAATCTCCCTCTGGGCCTGTAAATATTTGTAGAAGGTCTATTAACTGTATTAAGTCACCGTGGATAAAACCAGGCACTTACAGGCGGTTCTAATAACCCACATGCAGCAAACCCACTTTGTGGATTATTTGCAATAAAATGTTAATTTTTCAGAGTGGCAAATGAAAGCCTAACTAAGCTGTCTTCTGGCAATTTGCAAGTTTCTGGAGTGGTTCTCTATACCGGTGTTAAGCTCGCGACTCTAAAGTCGCGTAAAGACCTGTAAAAGCAGGTCTAAGCAAAACCAAAGCAGGGAGGTAAGCCTGCTGATTACATACAGTCCGTAAGTCTATATACACACACAGCAAACTAAACCGTATGAACCAAGTCTAACTCCTCCTCCTATAACTAGTATAATAATCAATGAGTCTACCTGAGCTTCCTGTATCTTTTAATTAAAAATAAAGTTTTCCTCTTTTTTAAATCAAAACAGTATGTCCAGTATAGACAAACAAAATGTTAAAAAGGAACTTTGGAACACAATAGTCGTTAAGTGCACAATTGGGAGGTAACCACTTGGGAATACCCTTTCTGATCTCTCTACAGGCTGTGGAGTTTCGAGTTGCTCTATTGTAAAATTGAAAATAAACTTAACTTTGTTTTATTTTAAAACAATTTATTTAAAAGGAAATAAATCAGTTGAATCTAAAATAAAAATAAACTTTAAGGGGCACCTGCGTGGCTCAGTCGGTTAAGCATCTGACTTCGGCTCAGGTCATGATCTCACGGTTTGTGGGTTCGAGCTCCGTGTCGGGCTCGCTGCTGTCAGCAAAGAGCACACTTCAGATCCTCTGTCTCCCTCTCTCTGCCCCTTCTCTGCTTGCACTCTCTCTCTCTTCTCTCTCAAAATAAATAAATAAACTTAAAAAAAAAACTCTTAGCCATGTATCGTATCTTTCAGTAATAATAAACATTTTTTCAGGGCACCTGGCTGGTGGGGTCAGTAGAGCATGTGGCCCTTGATCTCGGAGTTATGGGTTTGAACCCTATGTTGGGTGTAGAGATTGCTTAAAAAAATACAATCTTTAAAGTTTATTTGTTTTTAAGAGAGAGAGAGGGTGCAAGCGCATGTGCATGCATAAGTGGGGGAGGGACAGAGAGAGAGGGAGAGAGAGAGAGAGAGAGAGAGTCCCAAGCAGGCTCTGCACTGCCAGTGGGGAGCCTGACGGCAAGAGCTCTAACTTTAACTGTGAGATCATGTGACTTGAGCTGAAATCAAGAGTCGGACGCCCACCACTCAGATGCCCACTCCCCAAATAAAAATCTTTAAAAATAAATAAATAAAAATAACTATTTTTCAAGGCTTCTGTGGACTTCAAATGACTGCCAAGAATTGCATGGTGTGAACGGATGAATTTAGCTATTTCTCAGTCGGCGTTGGCATTGCTCTGTCTTTGTTTTTGTGCTCAGCTCTGGTATCAGCAGCGGCATTTTACAACTAAGCCCTTGTATGTATTCTGATTTCCTTAGATTAAATTTCCAGAAATAGACTTATGGAGTGGGAGGTTCTGATTCACATTGCCAAATTGTCCTACATGTTTGTGTATACTTCCACCGGTAACAAATGCCTTTTCAACCTGGACCCACCCCCCTCCATTTTTTAAAAAAAATCTTTGTCAAATTTATAGGGAAAAATGGCATCATGTCATTGGTTTAACTTGTGTTTCTTTAATTGTTGGTGAGACTGAATGTCTGCCATGTACTCATTGGCTGTGGGCGTTTCTTATTTTGTGACCAGCTTTTTCACATCCTGTGCGTGATACTTTCTGGATGTGCTTGTTACTGATTTGTGGGACCAGGCTCTCTCTTTAAGGGATACTGGTCTTATGTGTTTTAAATATTTTTCCTACTCTGCCACTGACCTTTTATTTTTTTACCTGAAATGGCTAAAAAGTGTATATAATCAAGGCCAGTCTTTTCCTTTTATGATTTCTGTATTTGTTGTATTCTTCTGCTTGTTTGCTTTTTGTTTTTTGTTTTTTTGTTTTTTTCTTTCCTTCTGGTTATTTTTAGAAAGGCATCCCTACCCTAAGGCCATATGAATATTTAGCCATTTATATTTTTTATTTAAAAATTGTGTTAATATTTTTTATTTATTTTTTAGAGAGAGACAAAAGAGACAGAGAGCAGGGGAGGGGCAGAGAGAGGGAGACACAGAATCTGAAGCAGGCCCCCGGCTCTGAGCTGTCAGCACTAGAGCCCAATGCAGGGCTTGAACCCACGAACTGTGAGATCATGACCTGACCCGAAGTCAGACGCTTAACTGACTGAGCCCCCCAGGCACCCCTGAGCTACATATTTTTTCCCTGTGCTTGTTTAGTTTCATTTTTTATACTGAAATCTTTATCCTGGGGATGTTATTTGGTGTCACATAAGAAGTAGAAGTTTAATTCAATTTATTTCAAATGGTTAGCTATTTAAAAATTAATTAATTTTTGTCCTGTTTTACGTTTGCTCCCATTATGTTTTCAGATGAGTTATACAGGAAAGCTCTGATCGAAAGTTGCACACTGGAGGCCCACGGTCACATCTAGCTTAGGGGTATATTTAGCCCAGATAAGTTTTGAAATAGTTATCTGCATATAAAAATTAGGAAATTTTTATGCAAAAGCTGGTTTTACAAATTCTCTCTGACAGTCAGAATAGCAACTCTGGGCTCACTTTCCCTCTTGAACAAAATACTATTGACTGTGTATTCATGGAAGGTTCCACTGTGAGCCATGAAGTCCATAGTTCATTTTGTTGTCTGCCTGAGGGCATCAGAGGTCATGATCACTACTGTCCAGTTCTGTGTGTTTATTTTGCAACTGAACATATTACAGGAACTATTTAGTGCTATTTATGTTTCAGTTAATTTTTTTGATTTTTTTTTTTTTTATTAGTAGGCTTCATGCCTAGTGTGGAAACTAATGCAGGGTTTGAATTCACAAGCACTGAGATCAAGACCTGAGCTGAGATCAAAACACAGATGTTCAACTGACTGAGCAACCCAGGTGCCCCTAATTTTCTTGATTTTTAAAGTGAAATTATAATTTTGCCTTCTTTCTTCCATTATGCATATTTCCTAATTGCCTTTTTCTTACCTTATTACACTTGCTTAAAACTTCCTAATAATTTTGAATAATGATCATGATAGCAGACATCTTTATATTATACCAGATTTTAATAGGAGTGCCCCCAGTGTTTGACTTTTAAGTATGAGGTGACATTTTTATATATATATATATATACACATATATATACATTTTTAAATGTTTATTTATTTTTGAGGGAGACAACGTGAGTGGGAGAGGGCCAGAGAGAGGGAGACACAGAATCTGAAGCAGTCTCCAGGCTCCAAGCTGTCAGCACAGAGCCCAACGCGGGGCTCGTACTCACGAACCACCAGATCATGACCTGAGCCGAAGTTGTACACTCAACTGACTGAGCCACCCAGGCGCCCCATGAAGTGAACATTTTTTCATTCTGTCAAGAAGGTATACTTTTATGGGCCCCTGATGTTTTGATTTCTTGTTAATATCAGTAAAATATGTTGACTTTGACCAAATGAATTGTCTGCATTTACTGTTATTATCCTGGGACTTTTCTGTGAATTTGAATTTAATACATAATAATAAGAGATCTTCTAATGTCAAACCATGCGTGTATTCTTATTATAGATGCTAACAATACCTGACAGTATCTGATGAGCTCTAATAATACACCTCTTGGTCTGATTGCCTATTAAAAAAAACAATTGGGAATTTTGCACCTGTCTTCATGAATGAGCCTCGTCTATTATAATTTTTCTCTCTTTTTGGCGATTTGTCAGGTCTTTTCTTGAAACAAATAGCATGTAATATTCCTACCACTGCCCACACTTAATTCTTTCTTATTACATCAACTGGTATATTCTTTAAATCCACCAAAAGTTAATGTTTCATTTATATATCTTCTTTGTTTTGATGTCTTTTTTGTTCGTTTGTTTTACAATCTTGTTGGAAACATACTGCATACACAGAATAGTGCCCGACACGTATTTGTGCGATGTCAAGAATAACACTAAGACAAACGCTCATGAGGTGGCCACCAACCTCACTGCTGCCTGCAGGGTCTTTCAGCTGGCGCCCCTCCACCCCATCCCCAGCTGAAACCACTGTCCTGAATTTCGAGTGCCCGCACTTTTCGCCCACAGTCCACCCTCTCAGCTGTGGATCCCCAAACAAGACGTCTTCCAGTTTGGCTGCATCGGACCCCTGCACATACGGAATCACACTGCCGTGTAAGAACACTGCCTTTGCCCAGGACTGTGTGCGCGCGTGTGACTTCTTCTCCCTCAAGAGTGCGGGTGAGGCACACTTGTGTTCTCTGCCTGATCCTTTTCCGTTATACACGCTTACTATCTGTTCTGCTACTGGATGACATTTTTGCGTTTAAAGTTGCAGGGGAGAGATGTGCTACGTTTCAGCATAAATAGCCCATCTGTCTGTTTTCTCCTTGGATGGCCATAGGCTTTTTTTTTTCTCTATCTTTGACATTTCAATCTTTGCAGGAATATATCCAAATGAAACGTATTATACTGAATTTGTCTGCTTCTCATATCAGCCCCTTTACTTCTATAGCTGGTTATTTTTCTCCAGGTTCTAATCCTAACAGAGAAAGATCTGTGTTTGTCCAGGCCGGGGATGACAGATGTTGTGTTAGAGATGATGTGTTCCATCGAGGTGTTTTAGTCTCAGCAAAGGAAACAAGATTATGCTTCTTCGACTTGAATCGCCTTAGAAATGCCGTGGTAGGTGAGAGTAAGGAGGGGGTCACTAAGTGCAAACAGTCCCCCACTCTGGCCAGAGGGGCTGCTGTGTGGCAGCATCTTCTGCAAATGAGAGAGTCTCTGAGGCTCACTAGGGCTGGCCCAGGTCCCTTCTGTGCCAGACATCATTCCATCTGGGACTTGTGAAGGGGGAGTGCCAAGTGCATTGACTCGGATGGTCATGTGGGACCAGGAAACACTGCCCATTTCGCTGGTATTGACTCTCACAGTGACACGCGGACTTTCAGTGCGTTTGGGGGGAGGCTCTCAGAGCCGGCGCGGAGGACAGGGGTGGACAGGCGACTTCGGTTTTCCAATCCACACCTTGAGAAGGTCGTAACTTATTCAGTGGGTTACAAGGGAGCCTGCCTGAAGGTGACCTGGGGTTTGCAGCCGCCCCCGGGGGATCAGCGTTTGTCTCCGTGTCGAATTAGACACCTTTCCTGTTTGTTTCTGGATGACACCACAGGAGGCCAAGCATTTGCCAAGGACATTGTGGTGGACGGGAGAGACACATTGGATGGGAGGCCAGTGGTGTTACTCACATCCTCCCTGTCCCGAAATTCTGTGACTGCTGCTTTCCCTGGCTGTTAAGGGGAGTCCGTCTCTCCAATCTCAGGGTCCTGAGATCCGTGCCTACTCATTCAACGTCACCTACAGTTTTGTCATCAGGGTTTGAAGGATGAAGCTGTCTTGTGATCACACAGATACTTTCATTGTTGTAGGGCCTCACAAATCAGAGACGCCTTCCCTTTGGGGGTCCTCTGCTCACACTGCCTTTCATGGGCCTGAAGCCCCCCAGCATTCATCATGGGGTCACGGCTTTCCCCTTCTTCCTGGGAAACCCATGGGGGGTAGCAAGCTGTGACTTTGTTCATTATCCGTAAATACAGCGCATTCAAATTTATTCACACCTTTCCCGGAGGAGGTAAGTGACACATATCACAGGAAGGGATGACAGCACAGCGATTAGGACGTTCCTTCAGCTGGTCTCAGACGTTGTCCAGTGGGCCCGGGAGCCTCCAGCTTATAATTCCTGCTGCTGCAAAGAATTTAAGGGAGAGCACACTTCCCTTTGGGAGCTTTCCCGTGGTGCCCGGCGAGGCTCGCTGTGGTCTGGGTGTCTTGCTCCTCACCAGGACAGAGGCAGGGAGGGGACGCAGGGAGCATGGCCATGGAGCTCTCTATGCTTCATCTTCAGCCAGGATCTGGGGACCGTACAAATGACAGCCGATTCTCCGATGGAGGAGAACGGGGACAGTAAAATAACTCTTTGATTCATTTATGCCTGTTGGAGTCTTGACACTCTTACGTCTTCGATCTGAACACCATATAGGTGGGCCCGACCTGAGAAGGATTAGATAATCCTCCCTTATGAAACTTGTAGGAGGATAAGGTTAAGTAAAGCTAATCTGATCACATTCAGATTTGTTCAGGATGCCAAGAGCCAGAGACCGGCCAAAAGGACTTGGCTGTCTTTTTAAATTGTTGTTTTCTTATTGGACGCAATGCTCAGCAGTATTCAGGCACCGGCCGTGCCACTTCCAGCCCTGTGCAGAAGGTGGAATTCTCCCACTGTCCAAAGAATCCTGGAGCCCAGAGCTGGGTGCTGGCTGCCCACAGCAAGGTCTCTGAGAATAAGCAGTGGATGGAGGGGGTGGTGTGGCCCCTGTTTATACTTCCCCAAGGGCAAAAAATCTGAATCAGTCATGTCAGCCAATCATAACTTCCTTAGTTATTTCAGGACCCCAGGCCTCAGTTTCCTCTTCTGTAAAATGGGGATAAAAATAGAATGTACTTTCCAGAGAAGTTGTGAGGATTCAGGCCAAAGCAAGTGCCTCGCCAATACCAATTATTCATACTATTCTTATTACCTTATTTGGATCCTTGAGGAGTAAATTTCTCTCTATACCTTAATAGAAATGTTTAAATATTAGACAACTTGATTCATTCATTCAGAAATGAAGAGGAATAGGAAATTCATCTAACGGGAAATTCGAAGATGTCTCTTACATGTCTTCCCTTGTAGGTATATAGCCTATTTTGTGGGTTGGGATGCCCAGAGCCTTATATACTTTGCTTAAGAACAATAGGTGATGCTCACAAAGTCTTTTAATCCCCCGTGCTTCCCGTGAGAAGGGCGCTGATACATGGTGACAACAGTGGGTCTCAGCTCCACGACATGTTCTTCCCAAGAGACTCTTGAAACATTCTTTCACGGCGAAGATGCCTTCCAGCAAGACTGACTATAAAAAGAATCTTCTCTCCCATTGACTTGTGTTATAAAATCAGAGATAATAACGCATGGAAAAAATATCCCAATTGATTTGGCAAAAATGCTTTGCTCCAGAAGGAATAGATGACGTGCTTGTTTTATCCCACAGTGAAACTGCAAGTCCTTTAAGAGAAGGGGGCTGGACTCCTATTTGTAGCCCGTAAAGAGTCCGTGCGGGACCTTCCAAGGTGCTGGGAGTGGTCAGAGTTGGTGTGGACTGGCCACGGCTTCATAGTAGAAACAGAACTTCTGGAAACTTAAAACGAGCTGTGGAATTCTTTTTGAAATCAGAATATTATTTTAAAAATTGGTATATAAGGAGACAAAGAGAGGAGTGCCTAGATCAGAGGAAAGAGGAGAGGAGGAGGAGAGGAGCGGGTCTTGGCCCTGCCTCTCAGACATGGCTCCGTGGGTCCCCTCAGTGCTTTCGAGGTACAAGGATAGAGCCTCTGACGCCTGTGGTCCCCACCCCTGTGATTCAAGATGAGGCTCCTGTGGCCAGGACACCTAGGGACCCAACCAAGTCTATACAGCTAATGATGACAGAGACAGGACCGTAGGGCTTATAACTGTTCTGGAAGATTCCAAGATCACCCCACTGCTTTCTCTGTATGACAGGAATTTCTCCTATTTTGATTTACACAGGACACTAGTAGGATTAGTCTGAACTGGCTAATTTATTTCCTGTAAAAGAACGCTGCATGTAATACCACAATTTACCAATAGATGTCACTATGTGCCATATTATTGTGCTTTCGGCCTTTTCCCCTTGACTCCCTTGAATTTGAAAATTCCTGCAAACTCCTGGGAATTCCTGGATCTATTGGGGGCGGGGGTGGGGCGGGGTGAGACTGGGGCCTAGGGCTGGGGGGAGGGGATGGGAGAGCCCAAGAGAGCTAGGAGAATTTTCAAAATTGTGTTTTAATCATGATGAAAAATTTTAAAGAGATATCTAACGAGATATAAATGGCAAAACTTAGTTTTAATTCATTTTCATAGAAGAAAATGGTGTTTCTTAAACTGAACTCCTGACAAGAAGTAGAGTTAGTGGGGCTCAAAGCAGGCCCCACATTCTTTGCAATCAGCACAACTCCCTTCTTTGCTTTACAGAGAGGGCTTTACATGACTACAGAGTGTGGGACAGAATCGGTGTGAGTTCTGGCTCTGTGGTTGGCGGTGTGGCCTTGGGGACGGTACCCTCGTGCAGCCTCAGATTCTTCAAAGGCAATGACAATGACAGTATGGTGTCATGAGCGCGAGGTGAGACAATATGTGAAAACACAAAGACGGACTGTCATTAAATTTTATTTTTAAGTTTCTAAATTTATTTTTGAGAGAGAGAGAGAGCATGAGCAGGGGAGGGTCAGAGAGAGAGGAAGACACAGAATCTGAAACAGGCTCCAGGCTCGGAGCTGTCAGCACAGAGCCCGACGCGGGGCTCGAACCCACGAACTGTGAGATCATGACCTGAGCCAAAGACGGACGCTTAACTGACTGAGCCCCCCAGGCACCCCGGACTGTCATTAAATTAACTGCTCATTTCACTCTATGAAAACATTTTTAGAGCTAAAATCATTTGAAAACTACCAATATTCCAAGCTTTAATTTCAAAAATTGTGGGAACTGGGATTTAAGAGGTCAAATGATGTGGTTCTCTGATTTTCACAATTTCATAACAATATAATTATTTACGTGAAACAAGACACATAATCCTCTGCTAATCTCCTCCAGGTGTGTCCCCTTCCCCCCCACCTGGGGACACTTGATATGTCACCATTTGAATCTGTAAAACTGATGAAACACAAAAGAGTCGTCCTCCATGATTTAACAGGCCAAACTGTTCAGTTTCTTTTTAAATCTCAATTTTGCCTTTATTCGTTCTGTTTTCAAAAGTAATCCAGAACAAGTCTGTAAAATTGTAGCAAACCAAACCAAAATTTCAATCAAACTGAAGTGAGGATTCTGTTGAGGCAGGAAAACATTTCCCCCAGCCTCTCTCCTGGCTCCACCTTGCGAAGAGACCGAGGAGAGAACGGATGGTAAGTGCGGCCTTGTGCCCTCAGGGCACCAGGCGCCCCAGCAGTCAGCTCACCAGACCATCACCTAATCCTGGGACCCCCAAGAGGTGGGTTGCAATGGCATTGCCCCCAGGAAGGAGGATCCCCCTACACACACACACACACACACACACACACACACACACTCATCCTAACCCTCCCCCCATCCCTTCCCCCCGGCAGCCAAGGTGGTCCCAGCCCCAGGC